ATCTAAAAATCTATGGAAATGGGGTGTATAATTACATGAGATACTTTTTAGCAAAGGCATTCACCGGGATACCCAGTCCGTTGTTCTGAATTCGGGCAATGATATAATTACCTAAGGTGGAGTATTTACAAATATAGGTAACACGTTTCACTCCACCTGCTTTGAGGACAATCGTACAGTGTGGAGGATAGACCCTCTGTCTGCAGTGTGCATCACAACACATCATTAGGATATATAAAGACCAGCTTTTGTACAGATTATCTAGCGAGATATATGTGCTTTCACATTTACACACATTTTTTCACATTTTTGTAAACATGACCCTTTTTCGGAGCAATTGGCACAGTATGAGAAATCATCCAGGTAGAAAATCGTCGCCAGCTCAAGCGGGTTTAAAAAATAAATGCTATTGTGTGAACTTGCCGGACCGATGAATCCCTTGCTCTTGTCAAAAAATGATGGCTGAATGGTATGCGGGCCAACGACAATTTTCATTTGGAAAACAAACATTCCGTGAGAAAAAGCTAGCAGTTACGAAACTTATAGCGCTTTCAAGAATTAATTTACAGGGTTTTTTTTTGTCCGTCAAAAATGGTTTTCAACAGCACTACTAAATTGTCAAAAATTGTCAAAAAATAATAATAATAAATAAATAAATATAATGAATATATAAATGAAATAAAATAAACAAATAAATAAAAAATAATAAATAAAATAAAATAAAATATATAATGAAATAAAAGAATTATCAATTAATACACAACATAATAATGATAATAAAAGTATCTTTGAATTTCCAATTAGTACTAAAAACGCCGTCACCCTAACAAGTACGATGTAGACCTTCCACACTTAAGTCAAAGAGATGGGGAAACGGTAGGCCCCTAACGTGAAAAAGCTTACAAAAATGAAGTATTGGTAATGAAAGAAATTTTTTTAAAATTCAAGTATGAAAATAAGTAAGAAAATAATGTAGATATTTTAAGAATTGTCCCTAGTGTTGAAATTTATCCGGTCCACAATTATCTAAGTATTGATATTGGACTGGGTTCCCATGCCAAGATCGATCCAAAAGGATCGATCAATCTCCAAGGGGTTTCTCTCTTAATTGCTTTCAGCTTAAGCGGCTTAGATGTCTGGCACACCTACTGAAGCTGCTAAACGATAATTTTAATTGTCGCCACCAATTAAAATTACCCCCTAAGCAGCTTTAGTAAATTGCAACTTAGCTAGAATCCCCTTGGAGATAGATCGATCCACAGTTAGTACGCTAGGGTCTGGAAATGGTCCCTTGGTGTCGCTCAAAAAAAAAAAAACTTACGCAATCAGATTGTTTTGACAGGTGGATGAATTTTAACGGCCACCAATTTTACACAATGACGATATTTTCGAACAAACAGTCATCTCGGCGTGACAGCACTATTTTTTTCACAAAGCGTAGCTCAGGCCCGGTATGATCATGATTGGTAATTCTTGTAGAAAAAAGTCAACTTCGGGCTATAATCCATTGTATTAAATGCAGTTTTTACCTGTAGGTATTCTCTGACTACAAGGTGCGCTTGTAGTCTGTTACAAAATGTTTGTACTTATATTAAATTTTACATTTTATATACTCTCCAAATACGTGGATCGCCTAAGACCCCATTCCCAGCATCACCATCGGTCCACATGGAGCGATCCAACTCTGGGCAACTCTCGCTAAATGCAATCAGCTTAACTGAATGACACGCCTCCTCTTGCTTTCAACTTACTGGTATAATCACCAGCTTTTCTTTATTCTGCTTAACGCCAGGAAGAGGGGTATCATTCAGTTAAGTCAACTGCATTCAGCAAAATTCCCTGCAAAGTTGGGTCCATCCACGTAGACCGCTCACCGCCGCAGCCGACTATGCAATACTTTGCGAAGTGTGTTTGTTGTACGTACCACGTTGCACGGCACAATGTGCGTTTTTAATATAGGCCTATATTTTGCTTTTCGCCTTTTGAATAGACTGCGTAATAATTGGTTATTAATTAATTAATTTATTTATTTATTTTTTTTCGACCTGTTTTATTTAATTTATTGATTAATTTAATGATTAATTTATCTATTGAGTGTTTTTTCTATAGTATAGTCAAGGAATGGTCTAATGAAAGACAATGATATAAAGACAATGCCAATGGCGTATTTAGACGGGGGTCAGGGCCGTCCTGACCCCCCCCCCCCTTCGATTTCTGGTCCCTCTTGAAATTAGAATTTCGACAAGCTGAATCATAGTTCTAAACCGTACCAAATGGCACCGTTCGCCCTCTAAAAGACCAAAAATTTGGCTACTTCAGACGAGAATTTTCAAACACAGTCTTGAAGGAAAATGAATTTAAAGATATTTACCAACATTAAAACTTTAAAATGATTTAAATTTGAAGTCAGGTAGGCCCTTTGCGTTTGATTTTGAACAGCTTTCATCAGGTGGGAAAGAATATCCCAGTAGACGCTGTTCAGAAGAAATCAGACCTACTCTAAAATGTGCAGATAGTTACATATATTAATTAATGTGAGGTGCGTTTACACATAAGCAACAAAATTGCACACAACCTCGTGGAATACCTCCAATGCTCTCCGGGCGTGATGAATTGAAGGTTTCGTTCCGACTTTCGGTAAGAATCTCTAACTTTGGCGTCGATGATTGGGCATGCGCAATACACAACACTATTTACTTCCGGAGTTCTACAGCAAGCTAGTTCCTCGTACATAGAGTGTGAATATATTTTAGTGAATTTTCGTTTGATTACAATTGTAAGTACACATAAAGATGAACAGGTTATTTGGGAGAGGCAAACCTAAGCAACCACCACCAGATTTGAACGAATGTGTGGCAAATGTAAGTAATAACATATTTTGTTGATAGATCCATTGTTTTGAAAATATTCCTTACAAAGTATTTCATGACTCACAATCAGACGACAGTGATGACAGCCAAGGAATACCTTCTTAGTCTAAATATTTTATTATTTGTTTACAGTTAAATACAAGAGTGTTTCTTAAAATTGCTTTAAAAAACTCTAATTTTAATACAAACTTGGCCTCTCAAATGTAGTTTTGACCCATATCAGGTTTTCACTGACAGCAATATTAATAAGTTAAACATTTTCTCTCCTTTCTTGTCTGAAATGTTGAAATTTTCACCTACAAGTTTAAGTATAATGTTTCTACATCCATTTGCCCTCTCTATGTAGACTGCGGTGATCAGATGTATAAAATTGTCTTTGTATAAATATATATATATATCATGGATTTCTTAGTTTGTTTATGTTTACTTATAGATTGACAGCAGGGGGGAGTCCATTGAGAAGAAAATATCCAAACTTGACCAGGAGCTGAAAAAATATAAAGACCAGATGGCTAAAATGAGGAATGGTCCATCAAAGGTATTAAATATGGATATAATATTTAAATTATAGTGGTGTCTATATTGAAAAGGTAGTTTAATATATTCCGATAGTTAATTATAGTCATTAAATAATTTGTCTACTTTCTGCATCTTATTATTCTAATTCCCTGTCTTGTTTCTTTCAGAATATGGTAAAGCAAAAAGCCATGCGAGTGTTAAAACAGAAGAAAATGTAAGTGTTACAGTAACATGATGTCACTGTCAGACAAGTTCATTGTAACTTATATAGTACATGTATGCTTTTTATGGTAAAAACAAGGGAGCGAAAGTTTACTGGTGTTAGGTCATTGTCAAAACTTTAAATAACCTTTACTGTACCTCTTTGTNTATTTTATATACTCTCCAAATACATGGATCGCCTTAGACTTCATTCCCAGCATCACCACCGGTCCACATGGAGCGATCCAACTCTGGACAACTCTCGCTAAATGCAATCAGCTTAACTGAATGACACGCCTCCTCTTGCTTCCAACTTACTGTATAATCACCAGCTTTTCTTTATTCTGCTTAACGCCAGAAAGAGGGGTATCATTCAGTTAAGCCGACTGCATTCAGCAAAATTCCCTGCAAAGTTGGGTCCATCCACGTAGACCGATCACCGCCGCAGCCTACTATGCAATACTTTGCGAAGTGTGTTTGTTGTACGTACCACGTTGCACGGCACAATGTGCGTTTTTAATATAGGCCTATATTTTGCTTTTCTTCTTTTGAATAGACTGTCACATGCGTAATAATTGGTTATTAATTAATTTATTTATTTATTTATTATTTTTTCGACCTGTTTTATTTAATTTATTGATTAATTTAATGATTAATTTATCTATTGAGTGTTTTTTCTATAGTATAGTCAAGGAATGGTCTAATGAAAGACAATGATATAAAGACAATGCCAATGGCGTATTTAGACGGGGGTCAGGGCCGTCCTGACCCCCCCCCCCCCCTCCTCTTCGATTTCGGGTCCCTCTTGAAATTAGAATTTCGACAAGCTGAATCATAGTTCTAAACCGTACCAAATGGCACCGTTCGCCCTCTAAAAGACCAAAAATTTGGCTACTTTAGACGAGAATTTTCAAACACAGTCTTGAAGGAAAATGAATTTAAAGATATTTACCAACATTAAAACTTTAAAATGATTTAAATTTGAAGTCAGGTAGGCCCTTTGCGTTTGATTTTGAACAGCTTTCATCTACCCTAGGTTCTAGATTCCGGTATTGCCAGCTCGATCTTGATTTCATATATAACCCATAGTGCGACTCCACCACAAGGTATATTTAGCAAGCTAGCTTTTACGTTGCTCTGACACTCAGGGTACTTTCATCAGGTGGGAAAGAATATCCCAGTAGGCGCTGTTCAGAAGAAATCAGACCAACTCTAAAATGTGCAGATAGTTACATATATTAATTAATGTGAGGTGCGTTTACACATAAGCAACAAAATTGCACACAACCTCGTGGAATACCTCCAATGCTCTCCGGGCGTGATGAATTGAAGGTTTCGTTCCGACTTTCGGTAAGAATCTCTAACTTTGGCGTCGATGATTGGGCATGCGCGATACACAACACTATTTACTTCCGGAGTTCTACAGCAAGATAGTTCCTCGTACATAGAGTGTGAATATATTTTAGTGAATTTTCGTTTGATTACAATTGTAAGTACACATAAAGATGAACAGGTTATTTGGGAGAGGCAAACCTAAGCAACCACCACCAGATTTGAACGAATGTGTGGCAAATGTAAGTAATAACATATTTTGTTGATAGATCTATTGTTTTGAAAATATTCCTTACAAAGTATTTCATGACTCACAATCAGACGACAGTGATGACAGCCAAGGAATACCTTCTTAGTCTAAATATTTTATTATTTGTTTACAGTAGAATACAAGAGTATTTCTTAAAATTGCTTTAAAAAACTCTAATTTTAATACAAACTTGGCCTCTCAAATGTAGTTTTGACCCATATCAGGTTTTCACTGACAGCAATATTAATAAGTTAAACATTTTCTCTCCTTTCTTGTCTGAAATGTTGAAATTTATAATGTTTCTACATCCATTTGCCCTCTCTATGTAGACTGCGGTGATCAGATGTATAAAATTGTCTTTGTATAAATATATATATATATCATGGATTTCTTAGTTTGTTTATGTTTACTTATAGATTGACAGCAGGGGGGAGTCCATTGAGAAGAAAATATCCAAACTTGACCAGGAGCTGAAAAAATATAAAGACCAGATGGCGAAAATGAGGAATGGTCCATCAAAGGTATTAAATATGGATATAATATTTAAATTATAGTGGTGCCTGTATTGAAAGGATAGTTTAATATATTCCGATAGTTAATTATATTCATTAAATAATTTGTCTACTTTCTGTATCTTATTATTCTAATTCCCTGTCTTGTTTCTTTCAGAATATGGTAAAGCAAAAAGCCATGCGAGTGTTAAAACAGAAGAAAATGTAAGTGTTACAGTAACATGATGTCACTGTCAGACAAGTTCATTGTAACTTATATAGTACATGTGTGCTTTTATGGTAAAAATAATGGAACGAAAGTTTACTGGTGTTGACGGTCATTGTCAAAACTTTAAATAACCTTTATTGTACCTCTTTATNGGTGGTCCTTTTTTTTCCAGATTTTTTGTATTAAATCATGGAGCCAAGTGGTTTGTCTTATTAGGAAAAAAAGACTATTTCCTTATTTTTAAATCCTGGCTAAACCGCTTAGTCACCTGGCAGAAACTTTATATGACATGATATTATTTGTTTCAAACACATTTTTGAGGAAATATCCTTTATGTGCCACTTTTAACACACATGTAATCCCAAAAATGTGATGAGTAGAACATGATGTGCCTGTGTCAAGTTTTGGTTTTAATTTTAAAGGATATTACAGCAGATAATCTTTTTTTTTTGTTGACACTCAAAATTGAATTGAATTGAATTTTAACATCTGTTCTGTTTCTGTTGTCAGCATGAATTCTTAATTATTTTGACCATTTGTCATTCTAGGATGGAGTACCAGTGGATGAGTTTGGGCTGCCACAGATACCTGCCCAGTAACAGTGACATATGACAGACAATAACAATGACAGCGACATTGATAAAAATGACAGTAACAATGACAAAAACAATATAGCCATCAGCAGTGTTACACAGTGAGAAATTTCCAACAGTTCAGAAGGTATCTGTTGTAGAGCTTTATTAGAATGTGTAACATAATGAAAAATTGTTGATGATTATGGAAGGTATTATTTTGTGAAGCTGTCTAGGAATATGCCATTCATTTCAGACATACTTATTCTGTATTTAAGACTTCCCAAACTTGTTCCATTTAGACACAGATCTTGTTCACTTAAGGCTGTAATACAAAGACTTAAAACCGATGTCTGTTCATCGTCAATATTGGTAGCAGCTGGCCTTATTGTAATCAAAGAGACGACCCCACAGTATGACTTCAAATAATTCACTGAAAAGGACTTTTTCACATTTTTGGTAAAGATTTTCATTTTACGTTGTGAACATTTATTTTTTTTCTTTTCTTTTTTTACTTCTAATTTATTTTTCCTTGACACACAGAAAAATGTGATGGCTGAAAGAAAAAGAGAAAGTTGTTTGATGGAATAATGCTGTGGGTTACAATATTTAGAATAAAGTTAACTCGTATCATTAAATCAAACTATGGAAGTGCACTAAAGCGTTATGTTGTCCTATTTCATTTATCTCAAATTTAGTGTTATTTGACGAATGTTTCATTGTTAGTCAAGAAATATGTTTAATACCTTATCCCCCCCTCATTGATCATCATGTATGAAAACGTGAATGCAGTATAACAGTAATTTTTGCACTGAAGTAATTTTCACATTATAAAAAATAAAATTTTTGTCATTGAGTGATATAAAAAAAACTTCCATGGTTACCCTGAGGGGTTTGTTAATTTTGTATTCAGGTAAATCAGTTGGGTGAATAAGTGAAATTCATCTTTCATTTTTCCTTTTATACTATACAATAATGTTTTTTTTGGTTAATGAAATATATATATGTGATTTATTTCCAAGATTCTTTAAGCTTGATACCGATTTTTTTCATACTGTTTGGAAAAGTCTTGTTTACTTTGAGCTTAGAAAAATTACAAGCTGTTGAAATCTAGAGCCTGATTGATGCTTTGTAGATTGATCATTTTCATTAGTTGTCATTAAGAGAAGATATGTGGTTTTAGTCTTATTTAATTTCAGGGTTCACACTTGTGTTTATGCTCATCTTTGCTTAAAAGCATTTTGTTGCCATGTAAAAATAAAATTGTTTACAGTATTTTGCCTTGATCTCCTTACCTTTAAGCAAAATGTTTTGCCAAAGAAAACTGAAAAATAGTTTGACGGTGGGCAGATGTGAAGTTCCATGTGGAAATCGGCTTTGCCATAATTTTTAGGCCTCTGTAATGTCGATTCTGACTGTCAAGGTGCAGGATAATCAAGCAGTAATTTGAGCCAAATAATATGCTTATGTGGATATCCTTTCTGAAGAAATAACAGAACTACAGTTTTGAAATTGAACTAACAAGTATATTTCTCATGTATTTATACAGAAATGCTTGAGTATTGCTTCAGAGATTTCTACTGTCTTACAATGCATTGAAAAAGCAATGTGGAATGTATTTGAAAAGTTTGCAGAGCCACAATTAATATCTGCTAAATAAATAGTATTCTCATCATGATCATAATTTACTTGGAAGACATTCTGAAATGCCAATATTCCTAGTATATCTTGCATAATAATGGAATGTGAAACAGTTATCTCAATAATAAATGTTTCTAAAAATCTTGCATTGTCACAAAAAGAAAAAAAATATCAATTTATCTTACATTCATAATAGTAAATATCTAGAAAGACATACAAATATATTTTTATATTTACTTGAAGCATTTCTTTAAATCCATAAAACTACAAAAAGCATTGCACAACTAGAAATCATCAGATTGCATATTTTGAATGAGAGTCCATACGCTGAGTTCAGATTATAAGTTACCAGTCCAGCAGGATCGATGTATCGCTGAGGGGATTCTTACTTAAGCAGCTCAGTGTAATCAGCTTAATTGTCTGGCCTGTCCCCTCCAGTAGCTAGGGGGTAAATTTTTTTCGTGGCTGCTAAAGGGGTTTCAAACTGTGTTTAACAACATGTAGTGGGGACAAGCTTTTTTAACAACATGTAGTGGGGACAAACTTTTTAACCTTATCAAACTGGCCATCACCCCAGTTTGACCTTGAAATAATAATAAAATTGTATCGAGATTTTTCCTCACTTTATCTGCATTTTAAGTACTTACACTTGTACAGCTGGTTAGACGCTGTTGACCTTTAGCAAAATTTTTTTATTACAACCTTTAACTATTTTCTTACGTAAGTCTAAAAGTATCAAAATGATTTTTTTGTTTTGTGAAATATTGAAGACTTCCAGGCAGTCAAAGGTTTTGAATTGTGTTAGCTCAATAAATTCATATGTATGACTAATGAGAAGCATATTCAGAAAAAATGTAACAAAAATATAAACATTGTTTGGCATATTATATAACTAACACTAATTCAGCTGTTTTTATAAGCTGCACCAAAGTTAACACTTGCATTTTCACTTTCTTCAAATGAGTGCAAGTTTAATAGCAATGGCCGGGATTATATTTTATCCAATGTATACAAGTGGCTGTACAGCGGCCGAGTACAGTGGCGGTAAAACATCAGAATAACCTTGACCAATCCAATGACCACTGCTACTCCAAGGATCGCCACGGTGATGATGGAATTGCGCTTCTCGGGATCCCAGTTCTTGGCAAGGCTTCCACTCAGAGCGAGAATGAGGACAATGATTGGGCTGAAGTTGTAACGGGTGTATCGATCAAAGACAAAAATATCCAGACCAAACCAGACCAAGATCTCTCCTGCAAGCACGCCCAAAACTATGGTGCATGCAATGTCTTGTTTAATGCCTATGGTGTATGACAGGACTATGGCGGTGTTCAGGAGTGAGGCAATTGTACACCAGGTGGCGTAGAAGGCCAACCCATTCTGGACAAAGAATCGAATCATCCAGATGTCCTTCACTGACTTCATACTGACCAGGTTCGGCGCTATCTTCTCAAGTTGACGATGTGTCAAGAAAAGTGCCACGTAGAGCGAAAAAGTGGTTAGAAACAGATCCACCATGGACCAGATGATGAGCATGCGATCAAACAGAATAAGCCAGGCGACATTCAGGACATTGTTGATGATGAAGACGAAGAACAGTCCGGTTGGAACAAGTTGTGGATCCACATACAAGTAGCTTCCCATTGTGGACTTGCGGCACATACTGGTCGCTACATAGATCAGCCATAAGAACTGTAAATAAAATACAAACAATGTTGCATCATGTGCATCAAATCAGAAAGATGAAACTAGACGTACATTAGATAGGAAACTCCCTAATATATCTTCAAATTTACCTATTGATTATTATGATTATAAGCATACAGATAAATGTTTTTTTTTTTTGTTTGTGACAATACTTGCTTAAATTAAGTAAGATTTTTAAAATGTTTCACCACAAACTACATTCAAATTTATGACTTTCATGAATCTTTTATCTTGTTCACAACAGACATTTTTACTACTAACTTACATTTGAAATTCACACAGACACAATCACACAAAAACTATAACCCACGTTATATCTGATACAAGAGATGCACTCTACTGTACCTGCCAAGTGTAGATAAAGCCCCAGATTGAGAAAGTCCAGCCAGCAGGTGTGATTTCAAGGTAAAAATAGTCCGAGACATCCCCAGTGTTGTTCAGAAACAAACCTGCAAATGTTTGTGATGGTCATTCAGTGTTATAATGTAATTTTATAAAATCAGATTATATTTTAATAAATTATTTTTGGGAAGAGTGTACCTATAAATTTTGTCTTATTTATGTTACTTAACTGTAAATTCCTACATGGTTATTACTGTTGTTGTTAATCAAAAAAATTGTTATTCTTTTTATTTCATTATTTATTTATATATTTCTTGCAAGGAAGAAAATAATAATTTGACAACAAAGCTTCAATATACACTAAATTCATAACAGCATAAGAAATATATAGAAACATTGAGAAAACATTACAAATTTTTAAGCTGACCAATTCTTATACATTTAATTTAATTTGGATACAATGACTGTACTAATTTTTTTCTGAAAACGCAGAATAAAGTAATTTATCCTCTCACCTTCAAAGTCTTGGCCAACTAGAGTCCAAGATGATGACAGAAAATTCATAAACAATATCGCTATGTAGACAGCAAATGTCAGAAGAATAAGCAGCATCAGCAGCAGTTTATGTCCCTGTGTTTTCATGGTTGCTTGTTGTACTGCAAAAGAAAAAAAAAACAATTTTGAAATATTTTAGGAGTTTTTTAAAACATCAAAACAGAGTTTCCAATTTTTATTCGTAATGAACTAGTTAGATACATGTTTGTGAGAACTTGTCAAAACCAGTTGTGTAACAATCTCTTATGACAAATTAAATTGTCAGTCCAAAAATTAAGTGCTTCTTCGATCCCCTTATAATCACAGGGAGCCTGAAAAATTGGGTTAATCAAAATACACTCCAGATGGCACCACCTCCTTCAATAGAAAAACATGCCAGTCATCCCAGCTGGGTTTTCATTTAATAAGAGGCACTCGTGTATTTCTGCATGTCAATTATAGAAAAACTCTGTATTTATACCGACTTGAAAACTGCGGCACTGATGTCACTGCCCAATTGAGAACAAAAGACAGCTACAGGGTAGTACTGTACGTACTTGCAGATTTGTGCACCATTCACAAATCTTCCAAATGTCAACAAACTTGCAGTATATACATGTACATGTATGCCTTCTACTTTGAAGTTCCTATAATCTTTTAAAAAGCAGTGGTCCACAAGCAATTGTAAGGTGGCCAGAATTTTAAAAATGAGTCTGAATTATCGATGGCGTTTTATAACAAAGCAAGAAATGTCCATCAACATGCCTCAATTTCTTAACTGATATACACAAAAATTTATATACTTGTTGTCTTTATTAATTCTGTACATGTTGTTGCACTGTACATCATCAATAAAGTACTGCAAGTCTCTTGCTTACACAAAATTCGCTCAATAAAACCTCATCAACACATCACAATACTAGAACTCTACACTGTCAATTGTAAGAGATCCTGAAGTGTCACTGATGCTCATCCCCTTCATTTTAAATTCTAAAAAAACTTCGTTCTAAACTAGATAATTTCACACTAAGCACATGCAACAGACACAAACAAACTAGCATACAGTAAACTAATAAAGTTATTATAAACTTATTCTTATTCAATTTCGTTTTGCTAGATATTCAACTCACCTGAGTAACCCTTGTACTTTTTCTAAGTACTCACGCCTGTTACACCTATTTTACCAGATCACATTTACATAAATGAAAGGCTTGTATAACATGGGTGTAACCGCGTGCACTGCAACGTGCCGTCCAAGCGACCCAGATTCAGAACGAGGCGCAAAAACAAAAACTGATTTTAAGCAAACAATATTTTATTATTAAATATTCGCAGTTTAACATTATGTGGAATAATAATATATAAAATATTATATTTTTATCAATAAAAATGTACATTTTAAAAGTAAGATATTTAAAACTAAATTTTGTGAAGAAATTTTGACACAAAGAATAATAAATTTATGATTTTATAAGACCTGTTTTCATGGGTCATCGGACGCACAGCAAGTCATAGCAGTGTGTTCATATAACCTGTTGTTTTTTGGGAAGGAAGTTGTTATTCGATTATCACTGAAGGTAGGCTCTCCGAAAATATTGTAAATCAACGAATTACAAATGAAAGTTAAATTAGAATTAGCCTGCTGTTAGTCAAGTTTAAGTTTTTGTAACTCAAAACGACCGTTCATAGACAAGTCTTTTGCAACGTGAGTTACCTTTACTTCAGTTAGACTAAAAAAACCTTAATAATTTAACAACTTTATCATTTTTCCTAGGTATACTCAGAGGTTTCAAAATGGACGTGAATTTTGAAATTGAGAAAGAAGTTAAATACAAGCACCATGCAGCTTTTATGCTGTTGATAATTCTGACAGTTTTGGGGTTTGCGGCTACCTGCGGCTTCAATGCCGTTTCGAACGGTCCAAACGGTGAGTAAAAAATATGTTTACTCCGATTAATAATACAATGTACAAATGAATAAACAAAGTAAAAGATGATAAAGGAAAATATGCTTAGGATTTTCATTTGGATTATTTTTTCATTGTTTGAATCATTAATTTAACAGTATTCACATGTTTTTCTTTTCTGTACGCTGGTATTGGTACTGGTATTCAATATTCCCCAACAGTCATATTTATGTCCTGCAAAGTTTTTTGTATTTCCTGAATCACACCTCAAAGACGGTAAAACTCATTAAACGACACTTTATTGGATTCATTCCCACTGTCGTCATTATCTTTCCTCAGTTTAAAAAAATGAGTGACAGCTCACAAGCTCTGTACCAGTATTATACACTGCAATATACTAGTATAACACTGCAATATTTCTTCTCGCATTTTCAGCCCTGTTTTTAAACAACACAGGAGATGTGTCTGATGCTTACTACTTGGAGATTACTCCCGCTGGATGGACTTTCTCTATCTGGGGGATTATCTATTTCTGGCAGGTAGGGCTTATCCGTGTGTTTAAGGTGTGTGTGTATGTTTGTGTGCGTGTGTATATTTGTGTGTGTGTGTTTGGGGAGGGGGAGGAAGGAGAATCTCGTTGTCCTTTACAACATATGAATATTTGGTCAAAAATTGAATGTTTTGTGTGAAATTTGAGATATTATGCAAAAATACCCCCATTTGTACTTGTATAGTTGTAAAGGTTTGATTTATGAACAGTTTTTCTAAAAAACAAGCAAACATAAAGTGCCATAGTTAGCTCAGGAGACAGATGTTACCTTGTGAGCCTTGAAGCAGAATGGTCATTCTTTATCTATAACGAGTACCTGTGGAATGTCATTATGTGTATATAGGCATAGCCATTGCGTCATTAGACAGATAGGAGCAGCAGATAGAATCAGAAATTATATGAACTTTGACTGACATTTCCCTAATGAGTTGTCTAAGAGAAGAAAATTTTAATGAAGTATGAATTGACTGCTATTGCAAGGATGGTGCCCAAATTAAGTTATCTTTAAATTGTACAAGTTAATTTACCATCTGATGATCTGGTGTACCATTTGTAGTTTTAAAGTAAAAGTTTTTATTCCTGATACAGTCAAGAATGACATTTTTTTTACACATTAGCATGTGGGCACAGTGGCAGACACATATAGTACTAACGCACACACTTGTTATAGGGAAAAAAAAAAACAATTATGATTTCACTTTGTTTTCCACAGGTGTGTTTTCTGATCTACGCCTTGGTAAGTCTGTGTCGTAAGGGACCTAAGGGTTATCTGTACGTCAACCCAGGCCTCCTACCAGCAGGAACTTTCATCTTCTACATCGTCAACAATCTCTGCAACATAAGCTGGCTGTTTCTGTGGGACAGACAGATTTTATGGGGGGCTCTCATCGTCATCGCCCTGATGCCTTTTACACTCTGGGTCGCCTTGGTGTTCTGTCATCTGCGCCTTGACTCTATCGCCTATCAGCTGATAGGGATGAATTCTGGGAAGGACATCTGGTTGATCCGATTCCTCGTGCAGAATGCTATGGCCTTTTACGCAACCTGGGTTACCATAGCAACATTGTTGAATCTCTCCATGGTGTTGAGCTACGTCACAAAGGCTGTAACACAGGACGTTGCATGCACAATTGCTTTGGGCATCCTGTCTGCGGAGATCACCACATGGTTCATCCTAGAGACCTTTGTGCTGGACCGATATGTGCGCTACACCTTCGCACCATATCCAGTTATAATCATGGCTCTGATTGGTTCCATGTCCAAGAACTGGGATCCAACCAAACGCAATTCCATATTTACTGCGGTGCTTCTTGGCATAGCTGGGGTGTTGACCATAGTGAAAGTATCTGTCATTATTTATCGTCATATCAAACGACCATTGTATCAAAAAGTGGAACCAATCACTTCCAAACCCTTTTAATCATTTTTATATGAATTTCTGTGTCTGTATACCTCATTTGTTTATTGTATATATTTGGATTTAGAGATTAAACTCAGTTTGCTCATTACTCTTTAGGACCAAAGGAACTTTCAGTAGTTCATCTTTTAGTTAATAATACTCCATATTGCACAGATATTATTTGACAGTTGAGTGAAGTATCATTTATTAGATGCTTTATTATTTGTACAGCATAGCTTTTATAATTGGAAATCATACTTTAAAAATTTAAAGAGTGCTAAATTTCAAACATTAACTATTTTTTCTTTGTTTATATATAACTGTTGTGGCAAAAGAAAAATAATAATTAAAGAATATTTTTATGTATTAAGTACATTCCCTGTGAAGTGTTGGAAATTGGAATATTTAGACAATGAGGTTATCTGAACTGTAACATTTGAAATACCCTATCAATTAAAAATATCTTACGAACAACGAAATAAAAATACTAGTACACGTGGGAGAAAATAAATCTACTAGTATGCAAGCATATATGATTTTCTTCACTGATTGTTATTTAAATGTAACTATCCGTGTCTTCCAAGGCACTTTTACAGAAATATTTTACTTATTTTGTACTCCTATGCAATGCCAAGGCCATCTTCCACTTACATGTACATTCATATTTTTTTGAATAAACTCTTTTACTTGAAAAAGGTTTCTTTCATTTTATTGTTGTCAACATGAGTGGATGTCATTCATCAATTAATTAAATGTGTCAAATAAAGACAAGTTATGCTGAATTTTCCATTAATGACCAAACATATAGCATGTACTGCCTCATTCATCTTAGCAGCCTAATGTGTCTATAATGGTTTGTAGTGATACAAAAGCTTCTTCATCCCAGACAACATCTAAATACAGGGTCGCCTTTGTGTTTTGAATTGAGAGAAGAAGTGAAGCTGGAGCAAGTTATCAGAGAATAGATGTAAGACCTTTTAAGGACTTGCATATAGTACGGGAGGGGCGAAAAATCATATAACAGCAAGTACCTTTTTATGTGGTCACTCTTATTAGCCAAAGCTATCTTTGGCACACCCTTTTTGTAGAGCATAAATAAGTGACCCACCTCCAGTAGCTACAGTGCACCATCGCCTATAAAACGAGAATACAAACACAAGTTGTGTCGCCTTAAAAACACGGGCACGTCCATTTGATCATTTATTTTGTTTTGATCAGCACAAATAAATACCGAAACAGCAATTGCGGTAGTTGAGACGTCTTCAAGGTTACAACAACCACATCCACTTTAATGCACGTTTTTCAGTACAATCGGCCAGCCAAAATATCCATCAAATCGTAAGAAGATCGGTAAATGGACATTATGGACTGTCTTGAGAAATCTTTATGAAATAGAGACGCAGTGCCCTTCTAAAATTTGGCTAATTAGAGGAGTGTATATCTCAAATTTCAGGCGTTTGAAATGGCTGCTGTTCTTAAAAGAACTTGAGAACGCCATCACTTCCACCTTGCAGATCTGGTCTCATCTTTATTTATATCACATAAAAATACATCTTATGCAAATATTTAATTTTGACATTTTCATATTGATGTCGATATACTAACTGGGCCTGGTTATCATTATATAAAATTATCAAGTTTCAACAAACAAAATTGAAGCGCAAATTTCAATTGCAAGGGATATTTTTATTTTGGTATATTTTACTTAATTTTGATATTTTCATATTGATGTCGATATACTAACTGGGCCTGGTTATCATTAAATAAAATTGTCAAGTTTCAATAAACACAAAATTGAAGTGCAAAAATCAATTGCAAGGGATATTTTTATTTTGATATATTTCACTGCTCTAATATTTCACTGCTCTAATCCAAATTATCGGTGCAGTGAAGTCACTAATTGTCGTCTCGCGTGTACGGCCAGCACAACAATTACGTGAGACAGTGAGGGGGCCCTGAACGAAAAGCAGTGGACAGTCTAAATAATTCACCACATTTTTCTGGCCCGGCATCGATTTTAGTGCTATTAGGTGCGGAGTCATTGGCTAGCGTTAAAGAGGATATTCCACATAGATGTTAAATTCTCAACACACAATAATTGCTTTAATAATTGCAAGATCCTTGCCATTACATTTAATTGCAACATGTAATGTTACACAATCGATAATACAAGAAGTTTTCATACATTTCCGCTACTAATGATTAAACAGCTTTAATTTCAAAATGTCATCTTCATTCAGTAACGGAAATGAGTTCTCAGCCTTCACTGTCACATCTGAACAGACTGAAGTGCAATTTGTATATGTTATAGTTTTTTTTTCCTAATTTTAATTTTGAAGAAATA